CCAGGTCAAAAAGGAATGATGAGTGATGCAGTTTTGGGATGTTGTATTTGTGTCATATAAATGAAATCAGATATTTAAAGGTGATGCAGAATAACTTTTGTTTAGGGGTTTATGAAGAATTAAATAATTAGTATTTTTAGAAATAAAGTTGGATTCTGTGGCTGAATTGCTGTGTCAGAGCTCAGATATAGAAATGTGTCTGGCTCTTTATCACAGCATCTTTCTATCAGAAGTTTTTTCCCTTGTATTAAGGGTTAAATAGCTCTAGAAACCCTGTGAGAATTTGGCGATATCACTGGTTATCAGTCTTCATTTTCTGTGAGAGCAAAGTGATTCTGAGTCTGTGTCAAAAGGAATCTGGGATCTCGATAGCAACTGGGATTCTCCAGCTCTCACAGCTGCCACGGCAGAGGCTGCGCCAGTGGTTTGCTCCCCTGCCCCCCCAAGCACCCGTGCTGCAGGTTGGGTGGCCAGTCTGTGTGACGCCAGCCCTCGTGCAAGCAGCACTGCTGAAGGCTTCTGCTGTTCTAATGGTATTGGTGAAATACCTGGTTTTCTGGCCTGTGGCTTCCTGATTTCTGACTCACCTGCACCACTGCTCATGATGCACACCAGCAGGTTACCAACCAACTTCCTACCATTGCTGGGCTATGTCTGGTTTTGCATGGGAGAGCACTTTAGCTGGATTCTTTCTTGTGATGTGTGGATCAAGCATGTATAGCATAGTAACATAGCTGCTTGAACAGTTAATATTGCTTAATTTATAGAAATCTGTAACAGGCCTGAATGCAGGAAGGGTGAGAGTTGAGTGGCAAGCATGGCATAATATTGAACTGGACAGGTAACTCTTATTCTTGAAGACCTAGAATGAATCCGCTGTCTTCAAACTGAGCTGTAAAATGACTTCAGATTGATGTGACAGTTGTCGTGTTTGGCCTTTTGTAAAAGCATAAGCTGTATCTCTTGTTCCAAACCAGGGAGTGTTACATCAGAAGTATTATCGTGTAACTAAAGTGAAATAGATCTCTATTGTAATAAGACCCCTCCACAAAATAAAAAAACAGTCCAACAAAAACCCTGTATCTGGAGACTCATCACACTTTTTTGCATAAATGATGGTGCTGCCCAATGCAGGGGCTTTCATGTATTCATTGCCTGAGTCCATGAAGGACTAGCTAATTACAGTGCTCATTAAAACTTTATCTAAGGCAGCTCTTCTCTACCAGAGAGTTGAAATAAGTCAGATACTTTCATTAGAAATTGTTGAAAGTCAGATTTTTTATTTTGTAAGTCCCTGCTGTGTCAAAAAAAAGGGATTTTCTCTCTGACTTAGAAAGAAACTTGGGAATTCTGAAAAATACAATCAACAGTTTGTTTTTTTTTAACTAACTGTATTCCATCTGCTGTTTCTCACTATTGGATAACAGCTGAGTTTAGTGATTTGAAGTGTTTAACACAATAGCTGTTTTCTGTCTTTTTAAATATTTCAGTAAGGGTACTGAATACTTTTGTTATTATGTATGGAGTGCTATTACAGAAAAGCAATGTGAAATTATTCTACAAGGAAAAAGAAATAAGATCTGACAATTTTAACATGAATTTATATATTTTGAAAAAAAGGTCATAAGTAGCTAGTTGTGTTAAAAGCTTATATGGCTTCTAACATAATTTAATTGAAGGCAGCACTTTCTCTAAAAACATTTCAATAGCAAAAGCTCTTACTGGCTCTACAAACTCTGTAGCATCCCTTATGTAACAGAAATAAGAGAAGAAAAGCTTCAGGCTGTTTTCTTTCGCTATTTGCCACTGTCCATAAGAGCCAGCCTCCAAGATGTGGCTGTAGTTTGCAGTAGCCTTGGCAAAAACTATTGCAGTTGCACATCTGGCTGGAGAAACCAGCCTGTGGAAGCTGAAATGCTGCTGTGTGGATGTTTGGATCACTCCACTTGCTGCTGCCAAAGTGCCAACGTGGATTTTATGACTAGAGAAAGTAACAGTAGATATCAGTAGCTGCAGTGTTAGGTCTTGTCTTGTTTTTGAGGGTTGCAACTGCCACAGGATGTCCTTCTGTGTGTGGTTCTCCAACCCTTATGATGGTGGGTAACTTTTATTTTGGGATTAACAACATGTTTGGCACATCTCCTTTCCCTTAAGTCACTGTGATGTTAAAAAATATTAATAATAAAATATCTACATGTGGCACAGAATAAGTGCATAATTTGTGCTTTTGAAATCAGTGGGAGGTGGAGCTATGAGTCAATCTATATAGCTCTTCCTCCTTGGTTGTAAAATAGCATGGTCAAGGAGCACCTGCCAGCTGAGAGATATACAGACTGGACCATTATAGCATTGCCTTTTGTGAAACAGAGATACTAATGGGATCATCAGCCTATTCCCCTTTGGTAAGAGAAAATCAGCAGTGGGGCATGAGGATGTGTTTGGCTATCTTGGTTGAGGTGGGGGAAGTTTGATCCTTAAATATCAAATGGATCAGCAGCAGGAAGGTTATTGGTAAAAGCAGCAGATATATGGTCTTGATGAGATGCAGATACATGTCATCATGGGGAGTAAAAATGGCAGGGCACCCTGTGAATCTGAGTAGAAACCGAAAACAGAAATGCTGACTGCTGGGTTTCTTTGCTTGTTCCTCTCTTGGCTTCTTGTCCCCAGGATCAGTTCATCCAAGCAAACCCACACAGGAAGATTGGAATCAGAAGGAAAAATCATGAAGGACTGCACAGCACTGGAGACAAGGTACTGTGCAGAGGGCAGCTTCTGGGTTGCAGGGAGAGGCCTACGGAGTGTGAACAACAGCTGTGCACCTGCCATCTACTATCAGCCATTCCCATCTCTCTAAGCTTAACTGTTGCTGTAAGAGGTGGTATTTTTGATGGTTAGTTAGGGCAGTATTTGTTTCTTCTGTGGGTGTGCTGTATGGAGTGGAAAACATTGACTTGGGGGTTGGGAAGGTGCAGAAGGTGATGAACTTGTGGTTTAGATGCTGCGCAGGAACTGGGAGAGCTGGATTGCAGTCTTGATTTTACTGTGACCTCACTCTGTGGTGGTAGTCAGACCTCATAATACCCAAAGCTCCATCAAATTGTTTTTCCTTTGCTTTGTGGAGACAGATCAGCAGATAAATTGTATTATTTGGTGTCCGCCATTTAAAATACTTCTGAATGCTAATTTTTATGAAACGGAACTGGTAAAAGGTGTTGGAAGGTACTGAATGAGCTACATACTGCATATGTAATAAACTATTCCCTTTCCTGTGTAATGGCTGGTTTAAATGATATTAAATGATAGCTTAAAAAAAAATAATAATGTACAACATGATGGGTTCCCCCCAGTTTCCTGAATCTGCTCCCTAGCTGTATTCAGTGCAGAAGTACAAGGCTAACTCTTGCTTAGGTCTGGGAGAGCAGTGACCTCACTACCTGCTAGCACTGTGGAGTAACAGTTGGGTTTGGGTCTGCATATTTTCAGCTGTCTCATGAGTAAGTTTCCTCCAAACTGCTGGATATGGATGCTTCTAAAGCTGAAGATGAAAAGTTAATCCTCTGGATTTGGGATGAAAAGTCGAACTTTCACCTATTCTGATAATTTATTCCTGTCATTCAGCTCCAGAAACGTTGCTGCCAAAAGTTCTGCTGATAGGTTTCTTCCAAACTTGCTGGTTTTGTTCAAATGACACTTTCTGACAGAAAATTATTGGGTTGGGAATTTTCCAGTGATATCTAAATAGCATCTAGCCTGGTGACTGACTTTTTTTAGATGGTTAAACTCCTTTGGTCAGGAAACCAGTTTAGAAAATGAGAAGTAAACTGGGAGGTCCTGAGGAGACAGCTTCTCAGAAATCATGTTGCTTTGAAGGTTTAATTGCTTCTTTCAATTTAATTAATAGAGCTACTGCTCCTGTATGTAGTATTTAACCTCTGATGCTTTCAGGATTGTCTTGTTTTTCCTGTAACTGAGTTACAGGGTTATGTGTAGCTGTGCTGAGGACGGAGAAGGAGGAAACGAAAAATGAAGCAGGTTGTGTGGCCTTCAATACATTCCCCTGTAGAGCTCTATGCAGTGGAATGTCAATATATTGCTATACCTCAGTGCTTCTTGGTAAATCAGTTGAGTCAGCCTAGTTTTTTCCATGTGAACAGTTCCAAATTCAGTGATTCATGCTTTCTTCAGCTCTGGTTTTCCTCTAGCTCCTGGTTTATGTACATATATCAGTCCTGCATGTTCTGGTAATTCTAGTAATGTGGTCTTATTTTGATTAATGCAGCCTCTACCTCTGGATGACAGGCTATCTTTATTCAATGTCACATAGGTAAAAAAACCCCACAAACAACCCAAAATCCCAAACAAATTAAAAAATCACAGCTTCTTCTGCTTTATGTCATATCAAATTTGTCCTGAAATGCTAGAGCTGCCTTATAGGGAGCTGGACCTATGTGTGAAACGTAAGAATGCTTACCCCAAGCCTCTGATTTCAGCCTTCCTCCTGCTGGTGTAAGGGTCATATATTTTGGTATGGTGACCACCCCATGGTCTCCAAGCTGGCACCCTGCGAATGCTGTAATCTCTTGCACTTAGCTTGAAAATTGAGGAGCAAATTACAGGGACAATTATGTAATGGCTTCTTCTGGGAAAGATATCTTGTGGTATTTTGTAGTACTCCCTGCTTTTAAACTTAACCTCCAAAATGTAAATCTGTAAAAAAGCCCAAACCTTAAACACTGCTGATTACTAAACAAAACTGGAATCAGGCATTAGATGGTATCAAGAAAGAAGTTCTCAGAGTTTGTCTCAAAAATGTAAAATTAAAACATAGTCACTGCATTAATATGAGAATGGCCTATGTTTACTTATTTTGCAGGTCTCATTGTCTTTGCTATGCAATCAGATAGCTGGTGTTAGTTATGTCTCAATTATTTCCTAATAATTCAGGTGTTTTTCTCATTGTTCTGCAGCCAGAAGTGCCTCAGTTGTGCTGGCTTACTGTAAAAATTATAAGGATGAGAAATCTTTGTAAAGCAGACCTGTGTAAGTATCAATTATATCATGTTTATAGTTTATAAAAAACGTCACCTTGATCTGGATTTAATGCTCTTTTACACCTGCTGCTAGGATTATAGTAGTGTGTCATTTTTTTTAGCTGAAGAAGTTGCATGTATTTCATTCTTGTTTAGACTCATTTACAATGATTTAGAAAACAGTTAACAACATAAGTGAAATAGAATAGAAATTCTGTGTTGGGTAAAGAAGTTACCTTTCCCTTCACCATCTGCTCTGTGATATTCCCTAACTCTTCAGTGCCTCTTTATCCACAGGCTGCTCATTTTGCTTCTGAAAAGGGCACCTTTGTGAAAGATATAGGTAGACTCAAGAGTTGTGCTGGGTGATGCTGTGTTTGTCTCCTCATTGCTGTTTCAGTGTGAATGACTTGTATGTTACAAATAGGACTAGGTAAAAAATAAAATAAAATAAAAATTCCCCCAAATAAAATTCTTCTTATTTTTTTTTGTTTAAAAAGGGAAATCTCAGGAAGTGAATTAATATATGAATTTGCTCGCAGCCTGGTAAATATTTGAAAATAGAAGTAAAAAATGAGAAGAGCTAGAATGTTTCAGCTAAGTGCTGTGGAAATTTAATATTTTGGGTTTTACTATCAAAGAGTATTAGTGGTGTAAAATTGACTTTTGTTTGGAGTCGACATAAATTTAGATAGAAAAGTTAAATAACTCTACATTTAGAATGTTTTCTTTGTGTGTAATGAAATACTTAGGACTCCTCAGAGGTTAATATTTTTCCTCTTTGACTGGACAAAAGACATAATAAAAAAGAATTCTGCTGTACTAGTTATCTACATCTCTTTTGTTGACACAGTGAGCCTAACTGACTGTTACGTGAAGCTGTGGCTGCCAACAGCTTCGTGTCGGGAAGCCCGGACAAGAACTGTACGGAACTGCAGAAACCCTGTCTGGAACGAGACCTTCCGCTTCATGATACAAAGTGAAGTGAAGGTAGGATCTGCACTTGTGACAGTGACCATACACTTTCTAAAGGGGTCATCTTTACCTGCTGTTAACAGGCTCCTTAGGAGAGCCTTGAGGCTTACACAGAGGCTTGAACTCAGTTCTGTTGAGGAATAGGATGGTAATGGAAAAATGCAGCAAGTGTCAGAGACAGCATGAGAGATGATGTTTCCTACCTCAAAGTAGGCCCTGGCTTGGATTCTCTGGTACCCTGACCGGTCTCTGCTGTCATCCCAGGCGCTCGGACCTCAGGAATTGGATGGAAGGTTTTGTAAATCCTCTGGAGGATTAGTGGCATTTTCTTATGTGTAACCTCAAAGACATTTTTGCTGTATGTTGCCATGAGCTTGCAATATCTGCTTGATACAGTAAGAATGACGCTTTTTGTAAACAAGGAATTACATTAACTTAAAAGAACCCCACCCTTCAGTACCAACTACTCCATCACTAAATGAGCATATTTTCAAAAGCCTACAGGAAATCAAACCTGTGTCTTACAGACTTATAACACAATCCTGCCCGTCTCATGCTTTGAGTGAGTGTAAACCGAAAGAGTTATGGATCATCTGGAATAAAGTTGAGTGCAAGTGATGCAAGATCTAGGCAGAGAGTCAGTTTTCCATGGCTTAGTAGTATTACATCTTGTGCTGCTGTGGATCATCTGAGCTCTGGGGAAATGCAAGCGAAATCACTGCAACTTAACTTAAAATCTTTTAACAAGATTTAATGTGATTTACCTTCCCTTTGTAAAGGCTAAGTTTGTCCTGTATTTTTACTTTCTCCTGCTATGTTGACATTTTTGAAGATAATAATTTTGAATCTACAAAGGATTGTTAAGAACATTTGTAATCTGTGCTCTGTCCAGCGCATATTAACATCATGCTTGTCACTTTTGTTGCCTTTTTTTTGAGCTCCTGTTAATTGTAAAATCTGACGATTGAACCCTTCTACTGTTAGTCCCTGACTTTGCAGTTGGAGCCACAGGGGCTGCATATCTGAGCAAAGGCTTGCTGCAGCCATCTCAGCAGGAGACTGTCCACATTGAACAACTTGGTGGCTGCATGCTGCCTCTTGCCAGACCTTCCTTTTGGGCTCAGAACTCCCAGAATATGGCATTTACATCCTTCTCTGCCTCTCTTCTCAGAACATTCTGGAGCTGACAGTCTGTGATGAGGATACTTTCACACCAGATGACCGGCTTTTGACTGTTCGCTTTGATGTAGCCAAAATACAACCTGGAGAAAAAGTTCACTTGAATTTTGATTTGAATTCAGAGGTAAGAAATGAAATGAGGAGTGAAATAAAGTGGATAGATGAAGAAATACTCTTGATCAGAATTTTGTCACAAATTACTAACTATATTAAATATTAGAGTTGTTTTTGCACACAAAGACCTTGTTAAAAGAATCTTGTTAAAGCACAAATTTAAATGCTCAGGGTTTAGGAAAGGCCAGAAACAGACACCTCTCGGTTGTGATTGCAACCAGAGGCCAAAAGTGCTGCTATGTGACCAGCATTGGTTGGATCAGGTCAGAGGATAATATCCTGAAGAACTTCTCTAAGATCAGCTGTGCTTGCAAGCATGAACACAACATTTTTCTGCTTCTATCTGGTGCCGAGGAGTCTGTCAGTGGGGACAAGGTGTATTCTTGCTTTTGTCTGTCCTTAATTTAGATGATTCCGCTTACAATTTTAAAAGCTGCTGTATGACACTGGAGACATTCTGGAGCCTCATTAACAGCTTCTAAAGTATGAACTCCAAAGTCATGTTCTTCTGAAGTGGAGAAGCATCCATGAGCCCCCAGTTAGGGTGGTAACCATTAGGGGCAATGCATAACTTGTTGCCCATCCTTCCTGCCTTGTATCACACCTGTTGTTTTGCTTTCATTTGTCCTTGAGCAGCAGGCCTGGGTTTGGTCTGTTAGCTGGGAATGATCAGCAGAAGGTCTTTGCTGACTTAAAAGGCATTTTAGTTAGACTTATGTGGGGAAGAAGAAGAACCGTTTCCCACAACGCATCATGGGAATGTGTTGCTTCTTCCTACAGTTTGATCATCATGACCTGATGAAAGTTTAACAATGCTTTAAGTCTCATCTTTCTTTTTTTATGTAAGAGGAAGGGAGGCTCCTTTGAAGAGTCTGAACTGGTTGATATTTCCTTATAGCTTTCCTTATACCTCCTTTCAGATTTACTAGGGATTCTGTCATGTGCTTTTGGAAAATATGCTTGGTAAATTATTATATATTCTCATGAAAATATCTCAGATTTTTTTTTTCTCCTTGTGGTAAATAACTTTTTTTTTTTTTAATTAAAAATTCTGAGCAAGTATGTTTATGACCTTTTGTAACAGGATTACAGACTTCTTTTAGGGGGGCTGAGTCAGCACAGAATGGATAGGGCTTGATGAATGAGAATCTCTTCAGTATTTTGTTCTTCTAGGTCTGTGCCTGACTCAGTGGTGTTATTTGCTGCATATGTCTCAAAGAATATTGTGTTTGGTTGTATTAAAGAGGATATAAAGAACTTTTAATGAAATATTTGGTGGGTGAAGTTGCTGAGAGTACAGGTGGAGCAATCTGACCCTCTTTTTAAGAGAGCAAAATACATACTCAGATTACTTTCTCCAAAACATAACTTCTCTACTTGGAGGCTAGATGGCTTTTTCACACTTCTGACATGAACTTGAGTTTACAGTTCCAAGGGACTGTATGTGCTCTGTTTATTTCTAAAATGCTCTGTCAGACAGAATGTTTGAAAAAAACCTCTTGCCTGCTCCTTATATTACTATCTCTTTGAAGAGTGTTTATTAGCTACTCTTCAAGAAGGTAAATCCTTATGAAGTATTCCAATATACCTGCTCCATATAGGTATGGTCTTTCTTAGAATAAGGCTTATGTGACTGAGATAATTTGAGGTGTGATTTGAGCCATGAGTTTGCTCTGAGGCATGTGTAGAGTTGGCTTAATCCATTGGCTTAGCAAAGCTGATGATGGGGAGATAAAACAAGGTGAGCTGAGTCTCAGGAATGTCTTGGTCAAGCCTTCTTTATCTGAATTGCAAATCCTACTCAGGTGCCCATGAGATGTCACAAGTTATGGTCTGTACATGGATTTTTAGAACATTTAGGGTTTGTTTTTTTTTAAAAGTGATTTAATAATGGGACATAGTGGACAACCTTAATAACAGGCTGTACTGCTACCTCTCCCCATAATGGTTTCTTCCATCTACTAAGGTATCTCAAAAGAGGGGCTGAGGAGGCTGGATGGGTAATGTCAGAGCATCAGGGTTGCTTACTGCTCTGCCCCTTGCTCACTGTGTGGTCTAACTAGTTGTGCTGGTTTTGTCTCAGAAAGAGTTATTTTTTTTTCATAGTAGCCAGTATGTGGCTGTGTATTGGATTTGTGCTGGGAAGGGTATTGATAACACAGGGGTGTTTTAGTTATTGCTCAGCAGTGCTTACACAGTGTTAAGGCCTTTTCTGCTTCTCACACCACCCCACCAGTGAGTAGTCTGGGGTGCACAAACACCAGCCAACCAGAGGGCACAGCCAGCCCCAGCTGACCAAAGAGTTATTTCACACCAAATGACCTCATGTTCAGCATATAAATCTGGCGGAAGAAGAAGGGGGATGTTTGGAGTGATGATGTTTGTGTTCCCAAGTAACTATTATGCATGATGGAGCCCTGGTCTTCTGGAGATGGCTGAACACCTGCCTGCTGGTGGGAAGTGGTGGATGGATTCCTTGTTTTGCTTTTCATATTAGGCTGTTTTTATCTCAAACCATGAGTTTTCTCACTTTTGCTTTTCTGTTTCTCTCCCCCATCCTACTGGGGGGAAGTGAGTGAGCGGCTCTTGGGGGGGCTTAGTTGCTGGATGGGGTTAAACCTTGACACATCTTGCTTTACTTCAGGTTTTTCACCCACAAAAATGTGAATGGACTTAAAAATATAATTTTTGTGAGCATGTGTACAACAACATAAGAAGGATGGGAACAATTAGGCAGATGTTATGAGCCACAATCTCCTGAACTTTGTTTCTCCTGTTTTTTTGGACAAAGTTGGAACAGATTGTGAGTGAGTTTGGATACTATGGACTGGTCACATGAGGATGCTTGATAAAAGTCTATCTTGTATATCTGTAAGGCAATTGTTTTCTAAAATCCATCCCTCAGCCTTCTGTTAGAAACTGTTGCAACCACCCTAATTCTAATGAAACAGAGATTTAGGGAAAAATAAGCAAGCAGAATCACTTGCTGCTGGGTTACATGCCACAGACCCAACTCTCAGGGAAGCCATCTGAGATGTCTCATTTGCTGACATGAAGTAGTAAATACAAAAATACTTATTTTCACCTTTACTGTAGTGATGATTTTACCTTGGCAGCTACTTTATCATACTTGGCAGGGTTTTCACAGTCTCTTTACAAAGTTTAAGTCTGCTGTGCAGCTGGACTGAAGGGATATTTGGAAGTAAAGTTCAGTTCTTTGGAATATGAATGTAAATTTTTCCTACCACTTGTCAAAAAGAGATTTAAATCTTCCACTATTTAGGGTTTTCTTCCCTGAAAGAAAGATGATCTCTCTGATATATGTTTGTTTGCAGTATTTCCTGGATTGGCTGTGTCCCATGCAGACTGATCCAGCATATGGCTGCTGTAAAGTTGCACAGATATTCACTCCCTCTGATGATGTTGATGTGTTGATGATTTTCTTCTATTGCTGTTCCCTGTTGTTACACTCCTCCTCCTCTTTGTCTTGCTTCGGCCCTTGTGAGCTCTTTACCCCATTCCCCTTCACAGCTTCAGTCTTCTCTCTTCTGTCTTCTTCACTGGTGATTTTTAATTTTCCAAATTGCTTTCTTCTCCCATCTCTTTTCATGTTTAGTTACTATACTCTGCAAATTCTTTTGTTTTAATGCAAATATACTCACCACCTTGGTCCATTTATTCTCAAGATGTTCTCCTACATCATTAACCTGTTTTACCTCCCTTCATGGGCAGTGATTGACCCATGTCTCATCCTACTTATATAATGAATAACATGTCCTTCACCCGCTATTCCATGATACTTACTTTCCTCCTTCCCTTGGGAGGGACAGCTGGTTTGTAAACAGTAGAGCAGTGGAAGGACATGAAATGAAAGGGTGGGCAAAAAAAGAGGTGTAGGAATAGCAAAAACCTGGCAAGAGAGGGTTGTACAAAATCATCAGAACTCTATGAAGGAAAAAAAAATATTCTTTTCCCCTAAATGAAAAAAAAAAATCTTCTTTTCAGAAACAGGAAGAACTAGAAGTGGAATTTCTACTGGAAAACATGTGAGTAAAGACCAAATGTTACAGAATTTGTCATCAGAAAGCTTCACATTTTAGAGAGTCGTAGTGCAGCACTGGGGAAGTGGCTCTGTGCACCTGTGTTCAGACATCCCATCTTGGCATCTTCCCTGTGGTTGCTTTTCTCTCCTGAATCTGGTGAGACCCCTCCTTGTGTGACAGTATCACTTACTATTTATAGCTGAGGGTGGGTGTTCATTTTGTAATTCAGCCTAAGGAGAGATAATGCTGATCAAGGAAGGTAAGAGGGAATGTCCCTAGGAGCTGTGGGACTGTGACATGGTAGTGAGCATGAGACAGAGGTGAAAGATAGAAATGCTGATGATGCTTGACAGCTAGAAAAGCTGAGCTCAGAGAACTATTTGCATTTAAAAGATTATTGCTCCTAGACTCACCCTTGAATAAGCCTTTTCCTTTTTTCTTTTCAGTCCAGGTGTATCTGAAAACATCATTACTAATGGCGTACTAGTGGTAATTGTTCTAATTTTTTAATGTTCTTATGCTAGGTCTTAACTGAAGAATATGGTTGCAACAAGTAAGCCTTTGGGCAGAGCCTTTACTCTTTTTCAGATGAGACACAGGCATTGAAAAGTTTTCAATGCTTGTAGTGCATGGGGAGAGGCTTGGACCAGCACTCTGCCACAGTCTCAGTGAGCTGCTCACTGATGAAATGGCAGGAGACAAGGAAAACTGGGAAGTGGGTGAATCCAGTGTTACTGCAGAGTTTATCACTTAAAGTCTATCTTGGAGCTGAAGGCTCTTTTCACACTGTGTCCCAAGTACTGTGCCATGATCTTGAGCTGCTACTGCCTTCTGTGCAGCACTCTCTTGGGAAATTTCAGTTTCATCCCAAAAATCTGAAAGTACAGGCCCATCTTTTCAGGTGTTCTACAGAGCTGTAGATGTCCTTCAGCTCACTCTTCTGTAGACAAAAGTTAAAATGTGGTGTAAATGTGGAGAAAAATTCCTTGTGATAAATGTTGGTGATTTAGTGTTTTTCCAATGTCCTGTGACCAGTGATTTTACCCCTTATCTCTTCCAGTCTCGTGAAGTTTCCTGTTTGGAAGTACAGGCGGATGAAACAGAAATGGAGAGTCCTTACAGAAGTAAGGTTATTGATTTATATTGATTGTCACTGCTTTTTGTGCGATGGAAGATGCAGCAAAATCTAGATAAATACGTGATCCATTTTAGCTTTCTCCATTTGTATCAGGGCTGCTTGGGGACTGAGGTCTGAATTGGCTACTTGCTAATAGTGAGAATCCTCTGGAGGTGATGTGACTGTGTAGCTTAAGGGGAACTGTGGAGGAGGCTGAAAGACTCAGAATTATTAGAGCAGTGTGATGGAATGGAAATACCTGTGATGAGAAGAGGCAGTGAAAGAGGGGAGACAGACAACTATCTAGATTGGAAAGACTATGAGGAAACTTGGAGGAAGGGAACACTACCAGTAGCATCCACTGGTCTAACACATGGTTTCCATCACTTGGCAGGGGAGAGAGAAGTTGCAGTGTCACATCAGCCTTTTGTTGCCTTTTCAGCCTGGTCCTTGTTCACAATGATTATGGGGGAAGAAAAACACTGGCCCAAATTAATTTTGACTGCACTAAGGCTGAAACTTTACTTGGGATGTTTGGTTTATTATTTTTCAGGGCCAGATGCATTTAACATTTTTCTGTGCTTTACTTCTTATTCTTAGGGAGAGATTTCACATTCACAATTGAAGGATCCTATGAAGAAGCCCAGGATGTTTCCATAGGTCCTTGCTGCAGCCAGGGAGGCAGCAAAACCACCATGTTCCACTATGTCAAACACAGTCAACCCAGACTGCACATGAGGCTGCCAAAGGAATGCTTCTTCTGTGGGGTATGTTTTGCTTGTGGATGGTGATAAAGTAACTTTTGGGAGAAGCATGATGAATTATCCCTTTCTCTGGTAGATTTGCACCTAAGGGTTGTAAATAATTTTTTTCTTATTATAATTATTTTCCTGTTTTAATTCAGCATGGCTCAGCTAGGAGAGAAACGGCTGTGCCTCTGCATTCTCTGGACTTGGGAAAGAAAGTGACAGTGATGACAGTGAGTAACCTTTGGCAGCATTTGGAATTATTTCAACAAGTGTAAGCTATATTTATGTGCTACCTGGTCTGTTACTAATTTTATTATTAAAAATGTGCTAGCTAAGTATATGTGTGCTCAGCTCTGCATACATTTGAAAGTATAGCTGTTTTTCAGTGAAAAAAGTAGCATATTCAGAATTGCTGATTGCTTTAAAGGTATTTTAAAAGCAGGATCCTAGTGATTGTGTGCTGAAAGCCTGAGAAGAGATTAAATAATTATCACTGGACTATATACATGAATAATTGCTAATACTGTAAAACTTGCTTTTGCAAACTTTTAGTTCTATTTCAAATTCATTATGTGTTCATTCTTAATTCTCAGGGTGAATCATATGAGGTCTCTGTGAAGGAAAAAGATGGGTAAATCTTATTTATTTTGAATGATTACTTAAGCCATCTTCTATCGTTTCATAGTATTGTCTTTAGATGAAAGGAAGTTACAGCTCAAAGTAGCTTATTTTGAAACCAGGAATAAAGATTGTAATTGGTTAACGAAGACTAAAATATGGGGGTTAGTAAAATGATACATGCTTTTAAATTGGTTGCAAGAGTACAGCATAGAATAGGTGGTAGGTAGTCCTGGCACATTACAAGACAGTGTTTTTCCTAATGTTTATTCTTCCTACTTTCACTACTGAAGAATCCCTCTGTCTTGTAATGTTTATCTGTTAACACATACACGTTTGTGTAACACATTTCTAACATACTTCTGACATTGTTATGCATATTACATTTCTGCAGGTTATTTTTCAATGAAACAAGTGAACAGTAATTAAGTTATTGACTGGCTTGCAGTGATTTTCTGAAGGGCAACATTACCCTCTACTGATTAGTTAGCTACAATGCAAGCACTAAATCCAGACTCAGATGATAAATCAGAGGTTTTTACTGAATATTAATTACGAGTCACGAAAGGGGCAAAACCTTTTGGCTGAAACAAATGAAAACATGTTACAGAACTTATAATGCACATGATGTTTATAATACTGTACAGATATGAAGAGACATCTTCTAACTCGAGTGTTTACAGCATAAGTAGAGATAAGCCTAACACAGTATTATGGTCATTTTGCCTAAAGCACGTTAAGTTTAAGTAACTGCTTAGATCCCTTCTGCTCTTCAGGAGATGCATACATAGCAAAAGAATGTGAAGAGGTGTCTGAATTTCAGAATTCCATGTGAAACAGATTGAATTCAGTTGTGTTCCTTGGTGTTTGTCAGCAGAGGATTCGATTAATTTACTTTCCTCATGCTTGTGTGAAATAGTTTGAGGTATGACTCTGGTCTAAAATCTCCACAGGAAGGCAGAAATACAGGGCCTGTGTTATCCATGTACCTGCATTATCCAATGTACTTGTATAGGGGAACCTTCACATGCATGGAAGTAGCTTCTCTTTAAACTGGTTTATTGTTGTTGCTGGTTTTGCCTGATGTCTCAAGCAGTAGCTCTAGAAAAGACTTACAGGCAAGGTGTCTTGTTATGTTCTTATGCTCTAGCTGCAAGAATTTAGATTTGCGGCTGGGATTTGATCTATGTGCAGAGGAGCAGGATTTCATCTGTAAAAGGAAGAAGGTGGTTGCTGCTGCTCTGAAAAATATTCTTCAGCTAGATGAAGACCTGCATGAGGATGAGGTATGTGGGACAGCATCTTGGGAACTTAGAGTATTCAGTCCCACTTTGAATGACGTGGATGTGATGTGTTTGCTTGGCTACCCAAATAGCTCTTTGACATCTTCTAGACTAAAATGTATAGACTAAAATGTCACTTGCTCCTAAGACCAAGAATATCCAAGGACTGGGCAGAGAGGAAGAAAAAAGAACTGTCAGGAGGTCAGTTATAGCTCCTTTATTCTCTGTCAGCCTCCACCCTCACTCAGGGACACCCAAAGGATGTATTTGTTAAGATGAATGTATGTATAAGCAAGCATGATGACATTTGATTGCATAGACTGTGACAGTTTCTCCTCAGTTTGACACCTCTCCCCTTCTCTGGTGCTACGCAAGGCTCAGAGGGGAAGGCTGAGATTCTCCCTAATCACACTGGTGCAGCAGCATCTGTCTTGTGCCATTTATGTGTTACTTCTTGCTTTCTCCTCTCCTGGGGATCCCTGGACTCAGAGGTAGCTGCTCTGTGTCTGGAGTAATAATAATGTTACAGGGCTATGGTGCTTGGAGCAGGGAGACAATCTTCTGCAACTGAGAGAATGTGCTTAGGTGGGATTTCCTCCTTTGCTCTGTTTGGTTCCCAGCATATTCATCCCTTGAGGCTGTGTGCAGGACAGCATTTGTCAACCGGGTCAAAGTGCTCATTAGCTTAAATAACAAGTAGAACAGCACCTGTTATTAAATTAGAATAAAGGGTTATTGAGTCACATTATTTCAAACAACAAAAAAACCCAACCAAAAAAACCACAAAAAAATAAAAAAAACCCCAAAGTAGGTTGTAAAATACAATGAAGGTAAGATCAAAGGCAACTGTAAGATATATTCCTAAAATTTGGTAAACACCTTGTCTCAGATTTTGCTAAGAGCTACCTCTGGGGCAAAAGGGCTGCATCCCTGAGGAAAGGAAGACCACATTGTGTATAGCATTGCTATCAGGGAAGGGGCAGGGAATCTGGGTAACAAAGAGGTAACAAAGCTTGTCACCATCTGCCTGGAGAATAGCAAATGTGGTGTATAAACTTAGAGGAATGAAAAACTAAGCAGGCAGCTTTTGCTCTGCTCCTCTGACCTCAGTTTTAGTCAGAATTTTAAAATGTGTTCTGAGGAAAAGACATGAGAAAAAATAAAAACCAGCCAGAAAAGACTCTACAAATCTAATCATAGATTATGCCATGTGAGAGCCATGCTTACAACTTCTGACTTATCAAAGCACCACTGGTCAGGAAGGTGCTTTCAGCATATGCTAAGTCCCACCAACATTTGCACAGCTCAAACACATACCTAAGCGCTGCCGTGAAGGGAGTAAATTGGGCCCAAACCCACCTGAATCAGGGTGTTGCTGTTACTACTTCTGCATGCCCATCACTTCTCTCTTCCATTTAGTAATGAATGACTCTGTGCCTTCATGTGTTGAGCAGGTGCCAGTGGTGGCAGTCGTGACCACAGCAGGGGGAGTGCGGTCCATGTCAGCTATGTTTGGTGGCCTTCTGGCTCTCCAGGACTTAGGTGTTTTGGACTGTGTCTCATACATCAGTGGTTTATCTGCCACAACATGGTAAGGAGAGTTGGGCTCGTGCTTGCTGTTTGTGTAGTAGAGTGAAGCATACTGCCTTGGTGGTGAATTTTACTCAGTGGGACTTGGCATCCTTCTGGTGCTCGCCCATTTCATGAGACCAATTTGTTTCTTCTCATTAAAAAGAGACACGAGACAGAACTAGAACAAGGTGAAGTAGGCATGAGAAAGGGTGACTGGAATCGGTCCAAACTCTGGGAACTGAAATCTCAGGCAGACTGGCCTTGTGTCTGAGATAACGCTCTTCCTGCAGGTTCAAGGAGGGGGAGCTATTGCACTTGTCCAGGGCAATGTTTGCTGCTGCACACCTGCTTAACATTTGACACAGCTTTCATTTAGGTAATCAAATGGTAATTCTAGTAAAACCTTGTGTTAAGTTATGTGTGTTGCTTTATTACTCTTTTGATTCTGTGAAGAAACAAGCTAGGATAATTTTGAATGTATCCCTGCAGCAAAAGCTGTCTACTCCAAATTCTGCCTGAGCTTTCCACTGCTCTTCCAAGGTAAAAGTTGGAGGGCAAGAGCCTTGTGTAACCTGAAACAAAACTCTTGCATGTGGTATAAGCCCATTAATTGTCACGTACCCAGTGATGACCCACAGTATGTTTCCTTTTACCAGGACCATGGCAAAGTTATATGAAGATATGAATTGGTCACAGAAGGATCTCAGAGAGCCGATTAGTGGTATCAGGAAACATGTGATCAAGAGCAAGCTGCATTGTTTCTCCCCAGATCATATGAAATACTATGAAAAGGAACTTTGTGAAAGAAAGGAAGAGGGGCACAAGCTGTCCTTTACAGATTTATGGGGACTCTTCATTGATTGTATGATACATCATCAGGTATTATAAATCGATCCCTTACTCCAGAGGATTTCTGACTTTTCATGTCTAAAGCTCTGGATTCAGTTACAGGAAAGGCTTCCAAAACTTCTGAGTGTTTTTAGAAGAAAAACAACACAGTGAGACTAAAATGTGAACGTCTAGGGGAAATGTCTAAGCATGTAAAAAGTCAAGGTGTTAATGAAACTGATTTTCTATCTTTAATTTCAGATCAAATGAGCATTCTAGTAACATACAGAGGAGAGATGGCTCTGACAGAGCTAAGCTCAGACATAGGAATGTGTAGCTGTACCAGCAAACAAAGCTGTATTAAAAGAAATGGGCCTTGGTTGACTTTTACCTGCAGCACCTCCAAGGTAGCTAAATATCTTTATCTACCCTTCAAGCAAGTCATATCCCAATAACTGCACAGAGCAGTTTCTCACATTTTCACTCTATCCCCCTTTCCAAAATTCCCAGAAGCACAAGTGATAATGCTTTGGTGAAGGCTAATGACAGATAACACATTTGTGTAGTCCAAACACTGAAGTACACAGAACAAAATCTGCAGAGGTTTAGGAGATGTTTTATTGATAGACCGTGCTTAGATAGTATATTAAGTCCATGCATCATGTTGATCTTTTCAATGTCTTCTGTTCCTTATAAACAGAGAAGTACTCACAAACTGTCTGATCAGCAACTGGCAGTAAATCAGGGGCAGAATCCGCTGCCCATATACCTGTCCCTCAATGTCAGGGATGACTTCAGCACTCTGGACTTCAAAGGTAATTATTACTATACATAATTCCTATAAATCAAAGAAATTTCCTTTTAATGCTGGGTGAATGCCAAAACTGTAAGTCCCATCTAATTAATCTTTTAAATAATTTATTTTTGCCCTGTCTTCTTCACATCTGGGTTCTGACTTGGATGAAAGCTGTACTGTGGTGGGGAAGTACCTGTGCAAAGATGTTGCCTTGAGAGCCACTGCTCCTGCTCTTTCTCTTTCATCCCCACCTGCTCCTCACAGCCACTTTCAGCTGCTGAGGTTCCTACTGAGGCATCAGTGGTCCAAGAGAGCTGTGAAGGGCTGAGGGAGGAAAAGAGAAGATGGGAAGGGGAGTGAGAGTTGGAGGCAGTTTCCAGCAGCCAGAAAGGGATCTGAGGAGGGGCAGTGCTCTGTGCTCTGATGAGTGAAGCCAGTGACTATTTCCACTGCATTTTCTGGCCAAAATGAAGCAGGAGGTCCTGCAATGGAATCTGTTCATCTGCTTCTAGGCACAATCTGCAGTCTCAGTGTATTCAACCAAGGTTTATTTAGCTTTGCAAGCCAGTGATTATCAGAGCCTGAGAATGAATTGTAGCTGGTGCCATTTCTGACGCAGCACTAACCACACCACATCTTGCACAGGGCCTTAGCAACTGATTGATTTTCAGGCCAAATTTTTGCTTCTTAGTACAGACATGGACCTGAACCTCAGGATGAACAGATTTTAACAGTGTTAGTTGAGGTGAATTTTGCTTTTGCATTCACCAATTTACCACACAATACATTGGAATGCACCTATTTGTTTCAAAACATGATGGTTAGAACTGTTTCTCATCAACGTGCTAAAGCTACAGGCCTTGTTCTTTCAGCTTTTAATTCTCAGCTGTTACTTTTACATGTGGTCAGGTGGCTGAACTAAGTCCTTCTTGATGCCTTATTTGCAGAGTGGGTGGAGTTCACACCTTACGAGGTGGGTTTCCTGAAATATGGGGCCTTTGTTCGTTCAGAGGATTTTGGTAGTGAATTCTTCATGGGTCACCTGATGAAGAAGATCCCAGAGTCTCGCATCTGCTTCTTGGAAGGTGATTTACTATCTTAGAAACACATCACCTTTATAACAACATAGCTGACTACACACAGTTGGCGTCTAGTAACTACTGGTCTACAAGTAGCAATGATAGCACACCAGATCATGTATCTGATGCAATTTGCATCTCAAATGAAAACAGTCAACAGTGCCAAAAGAGAAAGCAAATTATTGAGACAAATGCAATTAATTTACTGAACTTCTTAGGTTAGGCCAAAACAGAACACACACTTTAGGATTAATCTTTTGAAGTATTTAAAATCATAGTCTGACTTTTATAGACAGCCAGGTTTCTAAAATGGCCTGGTCATAAGCCAAACATTATGTGGAATGACATAGTATTTGTTATTCATATTAAAATTAATAATATTTCACAACTAAAGCAGTGCTAATTTAGAAAACCACAGAAGCTGAATCCAAGCAGGGTGCCTTAGCTGTGGTCTAAAAATTAAAAGTAGTATTAAGGATTAAATTTTTTGTTTGTTTGTGGTTTTTTTTTAACTTTCAAGGCACATGGAGTAACATATTTTCACACAACTTCATGGATGCTGTCTACCTCTCAGGTCATTCTGAAAACTTCTGGCACAGATGGACCCGAGACACTGAGCATGACATTGGTTAGTTATTTGGATTACTTTTCACTTACATCTACATTGTCTTCATACCTTTCTGAAATGGGAAACCTGACGTTTGGTAAAGAGTTTTTTTTTGTGTCCTGTTTGTGTCCTTGAGGACACCAAGCTTTTGGGAATGAAGGAAAAACAGAAGAGAAATGGATGCGCCAGAAAACAGGAAAAACATGGAATTGCTTGTGGTGCAACATCCCTGAGGAGTTTTGTTAGTCACAAGAGGGTTACCATGAGTCCTTTGGGGAGGGAGAGGCCAGACAGGGAACAACAAGGTGATGCTTTGACAGTGATGAAACCCACCTCTGTCCAGAACAGCTTGTTGGTGCATGCCTCTTTCTTTGACATTATTAGTATCTTAGAAGCACTCTAAACAAATGCAGACATTACACCCTCTTCCCTCTTCTCATTCTTCCTACAGAGGAAGACCCTGCTCTGCCAAAGAAACCTCATGAACAGAATACTTGCTTATCCATTCCCAAAGGTTGCCTTTCCAATACTCTTCGAGAAATGATGACTGGACGGCCAGTGGTTTCAACTTACCATAATTTTCTCAAGGGCTTGCAACTGCATAACAAGTATTTAGAGAATGAGGGCTTTTCTATGTGGAAAGGTAATAGCAAGTTGTTTTAGACACATCTTTGAAGGTGATTTGAGTGTTAATACTTGCTGAGGACAAATAATTTATAAGTTTAAGCATAAAGGCAAATATTTATTACAATAGTATGATTAACATGTCTGTGGAATTGGTTTCACTAAATCCCACATGATTTACTGCTGGTCTTGTTTCTGTCTTGGAGAAGCCACAGCACACTTGTTTTTGTTCAGTTCTTCCTAGGAAAAGTCACAAAAGAATAATTTACAGCTTCCACTGAGGATAAATAGCCACAAATTTACACCAGCCGAAAAAGCAGCTTAATGTACCTCTTTGGCTGAACCTGAGTCTCAGAACTGCTCTCTCTTAGTGATCTTGGAATTGAGCTACACATGCTAATATTGTGTGAAAGACTGTGCTGTTTAATACTTGTGTTAAAAAACTGTGGGATTTGTGTCAGAGACTGATGCAAGTGTGGGCTGTCTTTCCTTGGTATGCTGATTTGGAAAAAAATGGACTTGCTTCTGCTGTAATTAATGATTAAGGGTTTTTTTTATTCCAGACACAGTGCTTGATTCTTCTCCCAACCAGCTAAATGAAATGGGTGACTACCTCAAGCTGGTAGATACAGCTTTCTTCATCAATACCAGCTGCCCACCCATTCTGAGGCCAGAGAGAAAAGTGGATGTCATTTTGCATTTAAATTACAGCGGTGGCTCACAAACTCTGGTGATGTTTTGAAGCTGCAATTCTTTATGACTCTTGTTGTTCAATGACCACATTTATTTATTTTTTTTCCCCAGAAAATTGTATTTTTTAATTTAAAGATCATATCAGTGATACTATTCAACAGTGTGATCCTAATGTCACTGTTGTTATCAGGGTTATTTTCAGTACCTTTCTGGCACACACACATAGAAGATAACCTATTCTGTGTATCCATGCAGATTTGTTATTGTGGTACCAAGTTCCTCAGTAGTTAATTAAATAGCTTTACAATATAATTAGTGAATACATAAATTTGCTATTTTTGAATGAAAATTTGGAGTTTCCCTTTAATGTTTGCCTCTCGGTGTTTGCATAAGTTTCAGTCAGGTTTTTGCTTTGCTATGTTTGAGGAAACATTAAGGGGTGTATATGATTGAAATTAATGTGATTGATTTGTAGCAGGACATGAAGTTATTGTTAAATGTACTGAATGCAAACACTCAAGAATCTATGATCTGAGACAGCATGTGTAATCAAAATTTCCAGATCTAAATCCTCTACTGTGCCCACTAAATCACAAAAAAATATCTGAATTTAATATAAATTTCAGAAACCAGTAATCTTGCTTTTGAAATCTACAGTGTTAGCAAATCAACCAAATTTCTATTACCCAGGTTGTATTAAAATCAAGAGGGTTTTCTTGGTCCAGTGCATCCTTCACCTTAAAAACATATAAATCAATCACAGATTGCATAGGGCAGAAACATATCAGTTGTAGGGCTTGGTAGCCTTATTTCAATCTCTCTTTGTGTTATAACTTTCCTCTTTGTTGAACCAGCCACTGGACCTCTTCTCAGAGTACTGTTTGGAGCGTGGGATCCCATTTCCCAGCACGGAGCTGTGCCAGGAAGACCGGGAACACCTGAGGGAATGCTATGTGTTTGAGAATAGCTTAGAGGCACCAGTCTTAGTCTATTTTCCACTAGTGTGTGATACCTTCCAAAAATTCAAGGCACCAAGTAAGTTAACTGCATTAGTCAATGATATTTTGGGTTTGTCACATTCAGTTTATCCATTGAATTTGTCCTCTTCTAAAAGAAGAGACTGGCAAGCTTCTCAGTTGGCTTAATTAACATATTCCCAGTCCTGTTGTGATGGGTGTAGTGTTAGTCAACTAATCAGGGACTGAACTGAAGATCTTCAAAATTAAAAGCACGAATAACTGTAGTTTGAGGCAAAACCCCTTATCTAGCAACTGGGACAGCTTGCTTCCTTTGATAATAAAGGGTAGGATGCAGCTAGTAAGTCATATCCACTCATAGTGACAGTTGCTTAACAGACTTCTAATGAGATACTATATTTACTTTATTAACAAAGCTACAACCGTCTCGTTACTTTGTTTACATGAAGAAGTTGAGAATCAAAAGTGCTGAAAACATAATGAAGCAAAGGATTTGCCAGAATAACAAGCTGCTTTGATATTTGTAATTTTTAAAAAGTTGCCAGGTTATTTTCTTTAGTTCAACAATAGTAAAATTGTATAAATTGTATAAATTGTATAAATAGTATAAATGGTGATTTGTTTGTTTCACCAGAAAAACTATTTGGAAAATTCAGTTTCAGTGTACAAATACATCTGCAGACATCAACTCCAATTTTCTTGTTAATTTAGTATGATCCAGGAAACTTCCCTTAAAAACTGAACAAAAATCCACATATCAGCTTATTGGAAAAGACCTCATATAGTTCATCATACTCTTTGTCCTGCCACTTAAAGACTCCTCCGGAGAGAGATTTCCGAATTCAGGATCTTCCTGGTGTAATTTTCTACTAGGTGGTAGATAAAGAGCTTGTCATCTCAGTGCCCAATGGAAAAGTTAAAAATACAAACTTCCAAATCTGCCAAAGTGAAATATTCTGATGCAAAATTTAGAATTTAGAGAGGAAAGCATTTTGTGTGGAGAAGTTGTTCTGCCAGTCAATTCAGGATCAGCTGTGAATGTAGTCAAGCAGCTAAGTAGTGGATTTTACTAGTGCAGCAGATACAGTAGCTATACGGTAATTAAACCTTGAACTATTTTCCTGAGAGAGTTCAATTTCTTGTGGCTGTTACTTTGCATTGCCTGGTGAGAGTCTTCCACCTCAGTAACATTGCTGTGTTGAACTTGTCTCTGTTCTCAGATGTGGAGCGCAGTCCCACGGAGATGGAGCAGGGAAGAGTAGATGTGTCTAACTGTGTTGCTCCCTATGGCACTGGTCTGCTTACATATACTGAAGAGAATTTCAACAAGTTGCTGAACCTGTGCAGCTACAACATCCTGAACAATAAACATTTAATTCTTCAGGCTTTGCGAACTGCAGTGGAACGGAAGAAGCGATTTAAAAACTGTTTGTCACCTCAGTCATCTAAACCCTTTTAAAGTCTATCTTGATGAATCTCAGCAGAAGGGGATACACGAATGTTTTGGTAATGGTCTAATAAATATTCAGGGATCATGAATCCAAACAGAATGAACATTCATGTTATGGACACAAATCTTTTTGGTATGTGGTCTTTGAACCGGAGACCAAAGCAAAGATGGAGCAAAGCTTTGCCTTGTTCACAGATGTCCTCTTGTGACAGCAAGGAGTAAATCAGACACCAAAAATGTTTGCATCAGGAAAAGGAAGGCTGATAACTGAAGAACAGTGAAGTACATGACATCTTATATTTTCTCATTATCCTTCTGCTTGGTGGAAGTCTAACCTTCAGTGAATTTGCCTGCTTGGCTGTCATTGCACTGAGTCTGCATTTTTTTAATGAACTTTGCCAGCTACCTGATACAAATAATCTGACTGCATCTGTTTTTCCTGAACTTCTCTCTGAAATATTGCCTACCAAGTAGATTTTGAGGCTGTTGACAACAGTTGGGGCTTTAGGTGAAAAGAGTTTTAATAGTCTAGCTTTTGGCCATAACCATCTCTTCACTTATTAATCTGCTATGAACTGAGAGATGTTTGTGATGGCAACAAGACTTCTGATACCAACTGCTTTGACTTTTGCAATGTTATGATGCCCACTGTGTACTCGCTTTAGCTAAAAGCTTGTTTAAGAAAATATATCGTTCTCTTGTATGTACCAATATGCATATAATGTAATAGCTACTATTCAAATGCTAAATACTCATGCATAATTTATTAAAAATAAATGTCTTATAAATGCAATCACTGAAGTATGTTTTTTAAACTAAGTTCTATGGACTCAGCTAGTGAGTTGGTCTGGGGGATACTAGGCTTCTGATACCAAGAAATCAAATATTGAGGAGAAAAGGCATCTCTGAACTTTGCTAATGACCTTTAAAGAAGGATGAAAGAAAAGCTCATATTTCAACAGTGAAACATGAAAAATGGAAGAAAACTCTGCCTCTAAGTGTGCAGGTGATGGAGATGATAATGAGAGGTTTTCAAGTCCAAATATTGGTATTTGCAAACACCAGGGCATTTAGGCAGTAACACAGAGTGCAGCCCTCTGCTGGCACTGTGTGCGTCTGTTTTCATCAGTGTGTTCTCTTTTGAGTCACCTCATTCATTACACTGGTGTGAGTATAAAAACAGTATGTTGGCAGTATGGCTGCATTACCATGGGAGTGTGGCATCTTGTGTCTCCCTCTCACGTACCACGGTCAGAAGGTAAGGAGCTCCATCATCCAGACTTACAGATCTCTGTTTATTAAGCAGGAGATAACACCATACTCTTAAGTCATTCTGTTTTTTATGCATCAGTTCGATGCACAGGAGACAATTCTAGCAGGTATCTCCTGTCATACTTTGCTGCAATTTGAATCAAACCTGTAAAGTCTCCTCTTCATAAGAGGAAACTTCTGGCAGTAACTTTTACATCTCCTTTTAATTGATCTTGGGTGGTTAAGTCCAACAATTCTTTTCTCAGTTAGTGATAAATCTTTTCTTTCAACTCTGCCCTCTTAATCAGAAAGCCAGTTTCTCACCTTCTTTGCTTGACCTTGGTTAGGATAATTTGATATGTCTCACCAGTGAGGCAGCATTAGTTTTCTGTGAGCAAAGAAGAAAAGGAAGACGTCACTCTGACAGCTCAGTTGTGTTCATAAGTTATTTCAAAACAACAAGGAAACGAGCTTTTAAAAATTTGATTAAAATATTTTTGCTAAGTATCTTTTAAGCGTTTTAAAGATAAATTTTTACAGTTCCAAGAGGATGAAACAGAGGCAATGCAGCTTGTGCCTGGCATTCCCCCGACTGTTTTTTGGTGGTTGCAACACTTGGCACTGGGCCTTCAGCTTTACTCACCCAAGGTGTGGTGATGATGTGTGGATTTGGCAGCACACCCAGAAAATTAGGATTGCTTAGAATGGGATGAGGAAAGGGAGTTCATTTTAAGAAATCTAGAAATCAACGTAGAAGTTGAGCAAGCCACTGAAAAATCCTAGGCTGCACAAAATGTCTAGCTTAGCAGCTCAATCTCTTGCTTTGAAGGAATGTCAGAGAAATGCTGCTATTCGAGCTGGGACCTGGCTCCAAGGATGTAACACTTGCACAAGGCTAATGCTTTCCCTGGGATCACCAAGCTTAGTGGTCCTGCCTTGGTGGCTTGTGAGCTTTCTCCATGATGACCTCATTTGATATCTTGTCTGGGGAAGGAAAGGCTTCTTTTCCTGTCCTATTAAGAATCTGTTCATGTTGTTTGCATTGCAGCAATAGCTCAGAATCCTGCTCTTGATATGATGGTGACATCCAGTGTAAAAGGACAGAGGAAGAGATATTTCTTTACGTGTCTTGCCAACAAAGTGTCTCTGTCTCCAGCAAAGGATGTTCAGTGTTACTACTTCTAATGGTTAAGCAAGGTGTTGAAGCTCGGTGATGTCTCAGATGGATTTTTCAAAGCGATTTCAGCATTTGCATAATTGTTCTATTTAAGATCCAGGTAGGTCAACAACTATTTCTTTTTTTGAAAACACCATTTGTGACCTGTCACATAGGCTCTGCTAGACGTAATGGCACAATCCTGTAAGCAATTAGCTGTGAATATTTGTAGTCTACGTTAAGATTCAGACATTTCTCAGTCTGACTGTAGATGAAGTTACCCCCTCTACTTAGCAGGTGACCATGAGGTGACTTCCTAATATTCTGAGAATTGGTTCAGATTCAAATTGGCTCTAGATTTCCCTGTAAAGGTCCTGGGCTATGTCTTGTGGTGCGTTAATGCCAAAGGAATTACTGGCTAACTAGCTGACACAGGCTGGTGTTGGTATTCCTCACACCTGTGGTCTAATGAGGTTGGGGAAGAGAAAAAGCTGCTTTTGAGCAGTGTCTGAAGTGTTGAATGAATATGGAGAGGTCAGGCAGCCTTGGTCTGTTCCTGCATAGGTAGAGAGAGATGCTGCTGGATGCTCAGATTTACAGAGCAAAGGGGGAGGCAGAGGTAAAGGTTGTGAGCTACTGCTTTTTGAGACAAGAATGGGATCTGAAACCCTGTTGCAACAAAACTGAAGGCAGGATTGCATATATTGGGAACAACTGGGCCAATACTTCACTGATTATTTTTGAATAGCAAAACTGCCCAATCCCTTTCTGTGAGTAGGAGGAGTGAGATTTTATCTCTCCAAAATATATCAAAGGCATGTGGAATAATCTTAATCAGGTTTCTCAATAGTCTTTTGAAGGCAGAAGCCTTCCTTCATGCATGTCATAATCAGAACAGTGCCTTAAGCAAAAATATAATTCCCCCCTCCACCCGATAAGCTAGTGTGAGCTCTCTTTCCAGTGACTGATTTTGCACCTTTCATTCTCAGGAATTTAAATTCAGATTCACATTGAAAGTTTCTCCTGATTACAAATAGATAATTAAAAAATGTACAGACTTTTCTCTTTAACCTGTGCCCTCTGTTACCTTCTCTAAGAGTGCTTTCTCAGGAAGTATTTTTTTTCATCTTTTGTGATTCTTTTGGTTTTATTTTTACTTTATGTGATGCAGAACATCAAGTATATTGTGGAGTATTGTATAGTGTTGTATGTATAAATTTCAATAAAATGCCAACATGTTAATGTGAAAGTTAGAGTTATTATTTTGTTAAATGACAGACAGTTGCTTCAAATCAGTGGCAGGCCAAAAAGCGTCTAGCCAAAGCTGACTTTTTCAGAGTCTGGAATCCATTGCCATGGGGAAAGAAGTGATGCTTTACATCAGTGGTAAAGCTTTTTGTGTGCAGTGATTATTGAGCTTAGGTTGTGTGTAACTGGAATTTGACTTGGACTACTTGCTTTCTTGTTTAACTGGCAGGATTAGGTCTGTGTAGATTTTGTAGCTTATGGAATAATTAAAAAAAATAAGACAAAGGAAAACAAACAGAAGGCTAGAGCCAGGGAAAATCCTCAACTATAGATCTGACACTATACTTCTTTATTTGTTTATTTGCTTTATTTGTTAATTCTGAATACTTATTTTCTAATGTGACATCTGGCTATCATTTTGCAACAACTCTAGCAAGTTTTTGGAAACTTACCCTTCTTGTCACATTCAAGGTGTTTAAATGATGACCAACTCCTATTGTCATCCCAAAGATGGTACAAGGATACTTTTCTCTTGCAACAATATGAAATACCCCATTAGTCATACCTGTCTGTAGTCATGGATTGTCAGAGGCTGCAAAGTAATGTATAAGCTAAGTGTGGAATATTGGATGCTGCTGTTATTGCTACCTGCAACTTATTGCATGTAGCTGTACAATTATCTGAACATCATGTTGGGGAAACTAGTGCTTGCAATAGGGTAGTTTAGATTAACTTTGACTGCCTCAAATCAGCAAAGTATTTATATTTGCTTCACTTTAACTCAATTAAGACACAGATACAAAATCTCATGCATGTAAAAGTGCACAACGTAGCTGGAGAGCAAAGGAAAATTTTATCTTCCTTTTTCCTCTCTTTGTTATTGCTCAGAGCTTTAAAGAGACTGCTGTGTGTTCCCTCATCAGTAACACGGTCTGTCTAGTCTTTAAAAAACAAAGAGTGTAAGCAGCGTGTATATGAAGATCACCACCAGATTTAAATTATTTACTCTGGAAATGTGATTGCTAAAAAAAGCCAATATATGTGGCTCTTTAGGCTTTGAGTAACTTCACCCATGAACTTACTTATGGCACGCTTGATGATTGTCTTTTAAATTCTCCTTGAATTGTGGAAAAATAAGGAAAAATGCAAAAACCATAACACTATACTAACCCTTGAAGCAATAATCTTTTTGAAATCATAATCTGAGGGACCTAATTGTACCTCTAAAAACCCAGTGGAACAAATGACAGAACCACAACTTATTTTGAAGCAGATTGTGTAGTCCTTGTACACACCAGTGAATAAGCCATCAACAGTTGAAAGTTTCAAAGTGTTGCCAAGGGCAAGGTAGTAT